TAAAAGAAACGTGTCATCTAATTTAAAAAGAAGAAAATACTAAGGGTTCGTTTGGCATTGCTGTGGTTTTCTGTTTTTTGGTTTTTTATTTTTTTAAAAGTATATGATATATGTCCCTTAATGAATAAAAAATTATATAAACTTATTCAAATCATGATAATTTTAAAAACTGACAACAGAAAAGTGAAAACACCTTTTCCTTGTTTCCTGTTTTTGGTTTTTGGTTTTCAAAAAATCAGAAAACTGAAAATCAAAAATGATGTCAAACAAGCCCTAAATTATTGTATTCATATGAGCCAAAATCTGAATCGGGTTTTTTCAAATCGGGTTAGATTTTGACACATCAAGTTCATAGTCAAGTTTTACCAAAATATTTGACCAATTTCAGGCCAAAATATGGTTGTACAAGCCCACTGATTTTGGGCTGGGCTAAAACAAAATTAACAAACCGTTCAAGCTTTAAATGGAGGTATACATCATGTACTGCCTAAACACTTTACAAAAAAACACTCATGCCCAAAAATTCTGCCTAAACTCAACAACTCGAGTATGTTAGGTTTTGTCAAAAAAGAGTATGTTAGGTAATTTTGATCAATTTTCCCAACAGTGCAACCTGTCACATTTGTTCATCTATCTTAGGCAAGTTGCTTATTTTGACTAACTAATAATCTTTAGACTTTAGTTCAACTTTAGTGACATGTTGCTCAAAACTATCCAAGAATATCTGAGAGAAAAAAGAATGGAAATATTCTAAATCGTGAAACAATTGAATTTAGAAGAGAATTGATTGCAAATAGATTGATGAATGTAATTATATTGGAATGAGCACAAAATCCAAACGAAAGTCTATTGAGACAACAAGTAGTATAATACACCCTAAAACTTCTCAAGATAGGCGGCTAACATGTAGTGAAATTTCTTCGTCATTTTCATCTCTAGATATTTTAAGTACCCAAATTCAGTGTGGACATGTGGTCGGCCATTAAGGGCTACTTTGTCAGTGTTTAAGAGATAAATTTGTTAGTGTTAACAGGTCAATTACTCAATTAGGGCCTGTTCTCTTCCGTTGAAATTCAGTTCAGTTCAGTTCAGTTTAGTTCAGCTCAGTTCAGTTCAGTTCAGTTCAGTTCAGCTCAGTTCAGTTCAGTTCAGCTCTTAATTTATGTCTAATGATATTGCTAATGATATAAAGCCAAATTTCATTCTTTTAAGCTCTTATTACAACGACAACAACAACAACAACAACAACAACAACAACAACAACAATAATAATAATAATATTAATATTAACAACAACAACAACAACAGCAGCAGCAACAACAACAACAACAACAACAACAACAACAACAACAACAATAATAATAATAATAATCAATAAGTAATAAATAATAATAATAATAATAATAATAATAATAAAATAATAATAATAATAATAATAATAATAATAATAATGCTAATACAAATAATAATTTGGGGTTAGATACTAGTTAGATACATGTATTAATTAAAACATTAAAGAGAGTGGGTTAGGGTGTTGGACTGTTGGGCCGTTGCCTCTGTTAGCTTTTCATGTTTTTTTTCTTTTTATTTTTTTTTAAATATTTTTTTTAAAAATGTGTTTAAATGGGTTAGATACATGTAAGTGTTTTGTGTTCTTTTGTCATAATACTATTTTATTTTTAAATTAAATAGTATATGTGTTTAAAATGTTTAGAGGTTTCAAGTTTTTAATATATTTTCCATAAATTTTATAATTATATAATATATTTTTCGTAAATATTTTTATATGTACATTTGTATATACACATATGTATAGTAATAAATAATCAAAGATCACTAATCCGTAGTTAAAAATCACTAATTAATAAGTTAAGTTAAGTTAAGTTAAGTTAAGTTCAGTTCAGTTCAGTTCAGTTCAGCTGAGTTCAGTCAATCAGAACAGGTCCTTAGTGTTATAAAGTCAGTATTACATGAATTGCTAGGGTGGTTTTTTTTTTTTCTTCTTCTTTGACATAGAATTGCTAGGTTAGTATTATAGGGATTGCTTTGTTATTTTATAAGTGACAACATGGTATGCTTGGCCACACATATGACGGTTGTTAAATTTTATATAAGCGAGTATAATCATATAAAATGTCATACTTTGTATGATTTTAAGTTTTTTTTCCTCATTAACACATCAAATATAATATTTATAATATAATGTTTCGTATAATGACTATTAGAGTTAATAACATTAGGTTATCATTGACAACACATTTCAGACACCTTGCATGATAAGGTGTTTTACAACCTCTAAAAAAAAGAAAGGTATTGAAAAATGAAAATATATAACACTTTAGATCAACATCGTTTATATACACCCGTATATACATACAAGTAAGTGCACCCAAGGGTAGTTTTTTTACTCATTTGATTAATTTATATATTTTTACTCATTTTAAGATTTAAATATAAATAAACAAAAATATCTTTAAGTATACTTGTCCTTGGTGTATATATATATATATATATATATATATATATATATATATATATATATATATATATATATATATATATATACACACATATATATATATATATACATATATATATAATCTTAAATAACTATATTTATTTGGCTAACACCTTACAGAAATTTATTGTGATAATAATGACTTTTGAGATTTAGTTTGACTTAATTGTATATATCTATCCAAATTATTTATTTAATTAAAGAAAAAGCTTTTATTACAAGATTGACCAAACATATGATGGTAATAAGTAATTCGTACTTTTTCTATGTTGCTGATCATATCGTGTGGCCAGACTTGAGTAACCCCTCAAGTAATCCCTAATCGAATAATTTCTCAAGTAACCGAGTAACTCCTCAAGTAACCCCTAACCCTTTACCGAATAACCCCTGAACGAACCCCTCGATTAACCCCAGACCGAGTAACCCCTAACCAAGAAAATACAAACTATTGCGTCAGTTCGAACTGATCAAATGTTTTGTCAGTCCAGTAGGCTTTTGCTTTATACCAATGACCGCTCCCATCGCGGCGTTATTATAGTCGGTGGTATCGTCAATGGCGAGAAACTCGTTGATTATATTTAACTATAAATAATGATTTATGCTTGAATTGGCTTGATAATTGCTTGAGATTCTCGGATATTTTGAAAATTGCCCAAAAAATCGATTTGGGGCTTTATCGTGTGATGCATATTTGTGGAAATTGAATTTCCAATGTGATTGTATGTTGATTTGTGAGCGTCTTGATAACAAATGCATGTATTTTGGTTGAGAAATAAGCATGTTAGTTATACCCATAAGCTTAGTACGAGACATTCAATGGTGATTCTGCCATTGTTGACCTTCAATGGCAGGAAGACAATTATTGTATTTGTTTATTTTAAAAATAAAGATTACTAAATATAAACTATGTATAAATTTATTCATTCATTGTCTAGATGATATTATGTAAAGGCCCCATGATATCATGTATTATGTCTATAATGTTATCTATATGATCGGTGATATCTCCTGTAGTTTTTTAAACGACCTTATATTGTTTTTATGATACGAGTATCTTCTATGAGTTGGATAATATCCTCTATTGTTTCTATGATATCTGTTATAAGTTGGATGATATCCTCTACAGGTTCTATGATATAAGCTAGATGATATCATCTATTATGTATATGATATCATCTATAAACTGATATCATTTAAAGTTGTGTTTATGACATCCTCTATTGGCGGGATAATATCCTTTATTGGCTATATGATATCATTGTGCCTATGATATTCTTTATTGGCTAGATGATATCCTCTATTGGGTATATGATATCAGTTATAATTGTGTCTATGATATTATATATAGGCTAGATGATTCCTCTATTGGCAATTGTGTCTTTGGTATCATTTATATATAGGCTGGACCATATCCTCTATTGGGTAATGATAATATCCTCTAACAAAGTGTAGTATCCTCTACCAAAGATAAATTGTACATATTCTCTATCAAATACTACATATCCTATGAAAAAAAATACATATCATACTACAAAACTATACGTATCCTCTATTAAATAACACATATCCTCCAACAAGTTGTACATATCTTCTATCAAATAATAAATATTATGATCAAATACTTCATATATATCATATATACTTGGTGCACGAATTGTTTGGTGCGGCTTGCCGCACCCAATACCTTATCTTAAGTAACTCGAGTAACCCCAGCCCCACGATATGGTCTGCCACATATAAAAATTTGTGAATGTCTTATTGATTTCAGCAACCTATTAATTTTAGTAACTACCATAATACTTTCATGTTACTTAGAAAAAAAATGGTTAAAATAGAAAAGGAGAGAGTAAATAGTGAGTATGTACAACAATTGAAAGTATATACTACCTCCGTTTCATAATATTTTCAACAATTAAATATTTTTCCTCTCTAATACTTTATGTCAAATCGTTGCAAAAAAAAAAAAAAAGAAACGGAAGTAGTACAACAATTAATAATGGAAAGTATGTAGTAAAATTCAAAGTAAATTGTGTACTCTTCCTACAATGATTGATAATATGAAGTAAAACTTAAAGTAAATGGTATGTATAATTCTATGATTAGTTTTTCTTTTAAACAAAAAAAAAAATAACTCTGCTTTAATTATTCATTAGTTACTATGCATCATACTGAACGTAAAATTCAAAAAGGAACGAAGGGAGTAACTTTAATTATTATGTCCGTCCTTCTTGAGAGTACGAGACAATTCTTTTGGATGAAAATAAAGATTAGGATGTTGATTTTTCAAGAAACAACGATTTTGTCCAAATACATGTAATAGAAAAAATGCGTCGAACATGTGGAAGATGAGAGAATAATAATCAATTTAATCCAACAGTAGTCAATAATGCTACTATTTGGAGTCTTTGGACTAATTCACTACATAGTACATATATATAGTTGCATGCACCCTCACATATTCACATACAACAATACAAGCAAGTATACTAACCTTTGCTTTATCATTATGTTAAGGATTTTGCTTAACTTCCCTTAACCACTCGATTTAAGATTATTATTTTTCCTACTAACAATAATGCCAACCACTTCAATTACATACCTTGAAGATACCAAAGATTATGTCCTAAATCAAGGACATGGTGTTAAGGGTCTAGCTGATATGGGCATTAAATCTTTGCCTAATCAATACATTCAACCAGAAAAAGAAAGGTTTAATATAGACAAAATCATCCTTACCAACAATGGTGAAGATAACTCGATCCCTATTATCGACATGTCGAATTTAGACGATCATGCAATGGAAACCCTAATTTGTAATGCTGCGGAGAAATGGGGTTTCTTCCAGGTTATTAATCACGGTGTGCCTCTTAGTGTACTTGAGAATGTCAAGGCTGCGACGTATCGGTTTTTCGAGTTGTCTGCTCAAGAGAAGAGCAAGTTCCTAAAGGAAAATTCTCCTACAAACGATGTGAGGTATGGTACTAGCTTTGTGCCTGAAGTTGAAAGGGCCTTGGAATGGAAGGATTACCTTAGCCTCTTTTTTGTGTCCGAGAAAGAAGCCCTTGCTTGTTGGCCACTTGCATGCAGGTATACTTTATTTGTATGTATATATTTGTATGTATATTTTTAACCTGAGTCGAATCCTTGTATTACATTTTTCAGCGCAGAACTTAAATCATTTATTACTTTAATTCTCAATATGCATGATTAACAAAAAGTTGATAATTTGAAGAATTTGACAAGACAAATCTAACAAGATCTCACATTCTTACGTAATTTTTAAGTATAAATCACAAACATGTGTGCATGCAAAGAAAGTAGGGCATATAGATTGTCAATCAAAATTAACAAACAAACTAAATAGGCCACATATATTTGACATGCATTTTAGTATTAATTTTGTTCACTTTAATCCTTTATATTGAAATTTTAACTCATACGATCGTATTCCCTATGCTCCTTTTTTATTCTTTACATTTTTACTTTTGTGATTAACTTATAAAAAAAATTATTTATAAAAATGCTCTATTATAAACATCTTTAGAACCATATAATGTGGATACCTGCTAGCATTGGATGTATCCAATAACATATAAGAGTCTTATTAAATGCGCTACTCTTATTTTCTTAACCATTTACAAGTTATCAATTTCATTGCAAATTTATGTAGGGCTGAAGCATTGGAGTACATGAAGAGTTCTGAATTTGTAATAAGAAATCTACTAAAGATCCTCATGAAGGGATTAAACATCCATGAAATTGACGAGAGGAAAAAATCGCTTTTGATGGGTACAAAAAGAATCAATTTGAATTACTACCCAAAATGCCCTAACCCCAAGTTAACAGTCGGAGTAGGGCGACATTCAGATGTATCAACCCTAACTATCCTTCTTCAAGACGACGTTGGTGGGCTATATGTTCGAGGAGACGTTGGTGGGCCATATGTTCGAGGATTAGATGGTGAGAGTTGGATTCATGTACCTCCTATAGATGGTGCTCTTGTAATCAATATTGGTGACGCGCTTCAAATACTTAGCAATGGTAAGTATAAGAGTGTTGAACACCGTGTGATCGCGAATGGACAAAAGAATAGAGTTTCTATACCTATTTTTGTGAATCCAAGGCCAAAGGATGTAATTGCTCCATTTGAAGAATTAATGGAAGGAGGAGATAAGCCAAAATATAAAGAGATACTTTACTCAAATTATGTCAAGTATTTCTTCAAAAAGGCTCATGATGGTAAAGCCACGATCGATTTTGCTAAGATTACAAATTGACGTCTTGACGATATTAGGCTAAACCCTAGGTTATTGATCTTGAGTTTGTCATTGCAATAAGGTTATGTTGAAGCTTTAAAAAAATTTAATATTGTTTTATCTAGTTTTGTTTTGCTCATGTCTTATAACGAGCTTATAATCGGTTGTGACATTTAGTGTCTAAATTTAAAAAGTAGCAAAATATATGGGATGTTTCAACTTGTATGTCTATTGTAAACTTGTAATATTATGTAGTCCATTATAAGGTTTCTTGTATCATTGGTCTAGTCAAAAGTTCTATAATCCATATCATGTTGGAAAACTGAAAAATCTATTCCTTATATAGTTATATGATTTTTTGTAGCGTGAACTCAATCTATTTTAAATTTTTAATAAATATGTTTTATTATCTTTTCTGTTTTTACTACCTTGATATATATTTTTACACATTAATTTTCTACACAATCTTCCTTTATTTATGTTTTCTTACTTATCCACCTTTTTCTTATACTAACTCGACACATTAACACTCTCAAATTGCTTCTTAATTATATGCAAACAATTTCTGTGAAAAAAACATAAAATAATTGTTACTTCATACAAAAAAATAACACGTGAATAGTTCTTATATTAGTGAATGGCTTGAATTTAGAGTTACTACACCCACTCTTTTAATATATTTAGCAAAATTAAATAAAATATAAAACCAGATACATTCCACTGTAAGAATATGTAACCAAAAAAAAAAAAAAAAGAACAATCCATTCTGAGCAAGTTCCCGAAATCCTTCATATGATTATAAGCTTTCACCCAAGTATTTCTTAAAAGGAAAATTTGCAAATTACAGTCATTTAAAGTTCGTATTTTGCAAATTGCACCCGTTTAAAAAAAATTGCAAATTGCAGCTCAAAAATTCATATAAATTGTAAATTGCAGCCTAATTCAACTTTTTCATCGATTTACATGTCAAAAAATCTTCGGTTAAGATTTTAGGGAGCCATTTTAGTTATTAGGGGATAGAATTGAACTCGGAATTAGCAAAAAAATAACGTTAGTTCCTTGTTTTATGTAACAAAAATGTATCGATTTATGAAAAACTGTAAAATGAGACACAGGTTATTTTTTTGCTAATTCTGAGCTCAATTTAGACCCTTAAGCCCAAAGTGGCCCCTAAAACCTTTCCCAAAGATTTTTCGACATGTAAACCGATGAAAAAGTTGAATCAGGCTGCAATTTACAATTTATACGAACTTTTGGGATGCAATTTGCAATTTTTTTAAAATGGCTGCAATTTGCAAAATATGAACTTTAAATGAATGCAATTTGCAAATTTTCCTTCTTAAAAATAAGGATTGTTTGTTAGAAAATACTTAATAAATTCCAGACTTGTAAGAAAATACTTAATAAATTCCAGACTTGTAAGAAAGTACTTATAAAAAAAATGGTTGTAAGAAACTATCTAATAAATTGGGTAAAATGTTGTCAAATACGTGAAGATTGAATAGTCCTAGAATGAATGAAGCATCCAATAACTAAGAAGATTGATACCAAGGGGCTTAACGACATTGATCTAATGTATTTTCTAGCTATTAGTAGTTGCTGCTGAAAGAAAAAAACACTTACACTTTGTTTGGATATAATGAAAAGAAAGGAAGAGAAAAGGGAGGGGGACAAACTCTCTTGTTTGGGTAAAGGATTGGGGGAAGGAAGGGAAAGGAGAGGGAATGATCCATTTTCCCCTCTTTCTTTAATAAACATAATCCCTCTAAAACTGGAGAGATTTGGAGAGAAAATGGAGCTCACCTCCCCTTCCCTTTGTTCTCTCTTCCCTTCCTCTTCTATCCCTCCCCTTCGCTTCCTTCCTTGTTTCCTATCCAAACAAAGCGTTAAAGTGTGATTGGATTGAAGGAAATGGAGGGATAAAGGAAGGGAAGAGAAGGAAAATAGAGGGAGGGAATATCTATCATATGGATAACAAATTAAAGAAGCAAGAATGATCCCTCCAACAATGAAATATTTTATGATGGCTAAGTTTGGGCCAAGTTAGTTTTTCCTTCCTTTAGGGTGTGTTTGGATAAAGAAATGGGAAAGAAAAGAAGGGGAGGGAGGTGTAGGGGAGGGAAGAGAAAGGGATGGGAGGGAAGAAATACGAGTTTTCCTTACAATTTAATCCTTCCATTTCTCTCCCCTTCAATTCCCTTCATTCCTTCCACATTTGTTATCCAAATGAAAGTTAATTTATCCCTCAATTTCCCTTCCCTTCCTTTCCCTCCATTTCCATCAATCTAAACAAAGTGTTAATTTCCTTCCTTGTTTCCTCCAACAATGATCCTTCCTAGGTGGCTAGAGCCCATGATTTAGCAAATGGGTGTAGAGTTAACCTGGTTAGCTTTGATGATGGCTAAGTTTTTTCTTTTAGTCCAATGTTGTCAAAAAAAAAAAAAAAGAAAAAAAAAAGATATTTAGAAGGGAAAACCCATCATTTTCCCTTCCCCTTCCTTTCCCTTTCCTCCCCTTTACCTCTCCCTGCCCTTCCTTTCCTTCCCTTAACATTACCCGAACCCAAACAAACAAACTCTTACTATCAAATCTTATAGTGCAAATATCTCGTTGTAAATTTGTTATCAATGCCCTCCACCTGATGCATGCTTTCCAAAGCCTTGGGCCAAATTATACACCTAATTTGAATATAACATTATAACTGATCATCTAACATCTACATCAACATTTCTTATCAGGCTACGCTGGTTTATTTCCTCAAATTCATTTGGTTGATTCTGTCAAAAAAAAAAAAAAAAAAAAAAAAAAAAAACATTTGGTTAATTTAATTAAGTTGCGTTGGTAGTGCTCTATTCATCTAAAACTCATTTATCTTATTTGGACACAATTAACCATATTATTGGTATAAAAGTTACCAATGTACCATTGTGACATATTGGTATAAAAGTAATCATCAACAATATTTTGGTATAAATAAAAGGTAACAAGCTAAGTTTTGACATATTGATATAAACGCTAAGAAGTGACCATAGATTTAGTCTAAAATTAAATTAGTGATTGGTGACGTTTAAATTTTTTTTTCTTGCCAGAATAAGAGCATATTGTACACATAATTATCTTCATTTTTGTAAATTTAATATATTGCTTTTCTCCTCTTTTCTTTATTTTTTTATGCTTCAAATATTCATTTCTTGAATCCTATTGAAAGCAAAGAAAAATATGACCGAAAAAATCGAAAGAGGATTACATTAAATCATAGGAATTCTCTTTCATTTTTGAGAATTTTAAATTATTTGTTCATACAATTGTCTTTGGTTATTATTCTTTGATAATCTTTAGTTGTATACTTGTATGGGCATGGAGAGCAGAAATATTAGGGCATTAAATGAGTATTAACGAGAACATAAAAAATTGAAAAAAATAAATAAATAAAACAAAACAAAACAATAATTAAGAACTAGCTGGAGAAGCAAAAAAGGTTCTAATATGTCATAATTTCTTAACTCTTATATTATTGTCACAACTTGCTAATTTTTATATCGATTTATCAACTTGCTAATTTTTAGATGGAGTCTTTATTAAAATGTAATTTTATGATGATAAATAATTAACTATAATAACTCAATTTATTGAAAGCATGATTTTTTAAATTAGGATATTGTAAGATTTGTAACATAAGTTTGGCATGACAATCTTTTGCCAAATATTTATAGACATTTAGACTTAAATTGTTAAGTTAACCATACATAGAAATATAGAATTATTGATGAGGATGCCCTAGTTTCTCATAATGAGAAACAAAACTTGTGTCTCTCATGACATTTTCGTAAATAAATCAACAAGTTTATTCAAATGTGGAGCCCACAATAATGAAAAAGTTGTTGATTTATTCACGAAAATGCCCTATGAGAAACAAATTTAGTTTCTTAATATGAGAAACAGGAAATTTTCCTTTTTTAATTTGCAAAAATCACGCCAGTGCTAGATTAAATGAACAATTTATAGGTTGTTGTTCGTTGATATTTAATTAGTTGAATCACATTTCTAAATAAATACTTAATGAAATAAGTTTGGCATATACCATTTTATAATGTAATGACATATACTGTATACGGTCATAACCTCTTGTTATGATAATAAACATGTTCAAGTTTTCAATGTAATTCAGATTAATTATTAACAGTCAAATTGAATTTACATTGATGATCTAAGGAAAATTATTGTTTGATGATAACATACATATAATCACAAATTTCATAATCATAGCATTCCATGTGATTACAAAACTCTTTATGATCGTAGAAGAATAAAAATAAAATTGTTTGTTATATATAGGTAATGTCCTATTAGCATATTATTGATGAAAACCTAATACAGAAACAAGATTTTAAATTCTATCTTCGTTTTTTTCGATCGAACAAGGTCTCATAAAAAATATGTTACGACCTCTTTTCAAATTTTCATGACGAACCCAGATGAGTGAAAAACTTAAAATGTTTTATTTTTTGCATCCCTTGATTGAAATGTCCAATAAAAAATATTATACTAGGATTAAAATCTACTTAGATTCGCTAGAACCCTGGTTTAAGAATCCTTAAAATTTTGCATATATTGTATAGATTGAGTCATATTTTTGATGCGTCAATGTATTTACGAGAATAAAATCATAAATTGTTGGTTAATTTCATTCATAAATGAAGAACCTTGAAGAACGTTGAAGAACAATGAAGAAAACTTTTTTTAAAAAAAATTAATCTTATGATTGGGTTTTATTAAAAACTAATTTTAATAAAATAATTAAGAATATAAAATTAATATTTTTCAAAAAATCAAAAATTGATTTCTAGAAAAAAGAAATGATTTTAAAAAAGAAAAAAAATTAAAAAGAGGTTTGACCAAGCTTTTTAAGAAAAGGAAAAATCAACCAATAAGACTTAAGAATAGTGATGGTCACAATAAGAATGACAATGGTAGAAGCATCCATAATTCATAATTATTTTTTCCTTTTAATAAATACAACTTAAAATAAGTAGTAAACATAAGATAAGAAGAATAAATTTAAACACAAAGTTTCATATGTGTTTGGCCAGATCAGACCGTGTGGCCGAGGTTACTTAGTCAGACAAGGGTTACCCCTTCGGTCAGGGGTTACTTGGTCAAGTGTAGGGTTGTACAGAGTGCGGTTTAGAACTTTAGACCGCACCAAACCGCAATTTTGCGGTTTGGTGCGGTTTGCGGTTTGAAAATTGCGGTGCGGTTTTTTAAAATGACCAAACCGCACACAAACCGCACTTTAATGCGGCTTGCGATTTTTACACTATATTTTCGTTAATATTATATAAAAGAACTATGAGCAAATTTTTTACTATTAGTTAATTAAAGGTTAATAAAAAGAGTTGAATGTTAAAATTATCAACTAATAATTATAATATAAAATAAAAGTTTTGTTTAAAAAAGAATAATTACAATTTTAATAAAATACGGTTAAACCGCAAATCGCACCGCACCAAACCGCATCTTGCGGTGCGGTTGGTGCGTTTTTTTTTTAAAAGTGCAGTTTGGTGCGGTTTGAAAAAACTACAAATCGCACTTTTGCGATTTGGTGCGGTTTATGATCCAAACCGCACCTCGAACACCCCTAGTCAAGTGTTATTCGATTAGTCAGAGTTAGGTCCTGTTCACATCACCTTAAAAAAAATATTCTGTAAAATTGATTTCAGTTCAGTAAAAATAATTTCAACTCAGCAAAATTAG